CAGGCTGACTCAGAGATGATGATGATGGAGGAGGTGAGGCCTTGCGGAGAAACCACCGCCACAAAGCCTCCACGGCAAGTCACTGTACTGAGGTAAGTGCTTGTCTTGTATACTTAACATTCATTTTTGGTCTTATTGTGAGAATAAGCTCATGTCAGTATTTAACTTAAGACACACCCACTGCAGCTTTATGCCAAACTCTTCTTTACATCCTGCACCTCTAAATCACACTTCTGCACCTCTAAATCACACTTCTAACTATGTTAATACACTTGACTTGAAAGGTCCCTTGAGAAGATATGTGCACTGTTTTTAAGGGGGGTGAGGGCGGTGGCCTCAATCATCACTTCTTTCCTATTCGTTTTTGCCAATGAGAGCGCAGCTTCTGACAGGCTTGAGGTATGGTGCTTCTCCCTACCTTTTTAATCATCACGTCCCTGATGAGAACACCCATAGTACATCCAGCCTTAAACTGCTGCAATACATCAGACGTATTATGTATTGCAGCAGTTTATATAGTGGAGGGGGGAGACTTTCATCGATCCTCATAAAACATCACAGCAGCTTTGAGTAAAAACTGACTTATTATTATTGAACTGATGAGAATAAATGAGATGGATTTTCACTGTCCACTTGCTGCCTTTTTTGTGTTCAGCATTTGGAATAAAAACTGGGCTTCAACCAAACGCCTTGTCCCTCTGGTGGTGTTTTAACTTTTCTTTTGGCATATGAATCAATTTTCTCAATGTAATTATTTGTCTTTTTTCCCCAGGAACAGGAAGTCCCTAAGGCTGCTTTCTGGTTGGTGCGGACCAACAACTTCTAAAGGTCAAAGGGCACGCGGCGGGGTGTCGCCCCTCGACATGTCGGCAATGACGCGGTTTCTCTCTGCACATGGGACCAGTCTGGTGTGGGTGCGGTTGTCACTGCTGTCCAAGGGCAAACCAGAGCTCCACGCCATGGTCTGCGCGCCGACTGCTGAGGACCTGAAGCTGCTGGGCAAAGAACCCGGCGCCTGTGGCCCTGTGGAGCCGCCACACAGAGAGCCCTTTGAAAGACGCACTAGACGCCAACAGAAGGGAACCAAGACGGCTGCTGCCTCTGAGAAGACGGAGGCTAAAGAGTCGGACCCTTCCCCTGAACCAAATCCCAGCACATCTGAAGGCCCCCTGTCTTCAGTGCCCCCCCCCCTCCAGTCTTCCCCGGACCTCACTTTCGGGCTGTGGTCAGACCCTCTGCCGAGCGTCACCTCTCACTGCTCCCGGGTGACGCTGGGCTGGGTCACGCACGGCGACTTCTCGCTGTCTGCCGGATGCGGGGAGGCGCTGGGGTTCGTCAGCGTGGCCGCTCTCCTCCACACCCTCCTCAACCAGCCGATGGAACACAGAGGAATGTTGCTGCTGCGCAACCCCGCGGCCATGCATTACCGCTTTGCTAAAGTCAACCTTGAGGTGTGATGGAAGCAGCTGAGCCCTCACAGAATTCAAGAGCAATCCACCAAGTGATCACTCTGAACTGAATATTTCTTGCATGCAGCAGGCCTGACTAAAAGTACCTAGTGGCCATGTTGGAACAGCTTATTTTGTGTGTTTTACTCTGGAATAGGCATTCTTAATTTTCAGTTGAGGAAAGTTGGTTTTCATATCGACGCCTGACTCAGAGGACTGCTCTACAAAGGAATACGTTCAATACAACTGGGTTTCCAAAATGAAGCTCATTTAAGTCCCTTTAAAACCACACTCAATATGTTAGGAGTAATTATGTTTGTTTTTAAGATAAAAAAAGTTTGTTTTAAAAAATCACTGAATGGAATTTTCTTTAAACATCTTAATAAAATACACATTCTGCACAACTAAATTGGTCATCTTTGGTTAGTTGCTGTAGCTTAGATTTAAAACCACACAAGTGTGACTGCACACATTAAGTTGCACTGAACTGGTACTCTAACATTCTGTTCATAGCTATACTGACTATACACATATATAATCCAGGGTAGGGAATTTACATATTTAGGGGGCACTTTTTGCCCCCAGTGACTGGACATTTTTTGCATTTTTCATCAAATGGCAGGAATAAGCCTATTAGGCAGTCTACAGATTCAAAGTGTTTTCTTAGATTTTTTTTAAACCAAAACATAGATCAGACTCATTCAATTTTATTATTTCTTTGTAGTTTCTCATGTTTAGCAATATGTTCAGCAATGTCAAACTGCTTGACCATTCTGCAGAACGCTGTCTTTGCATCAGATTCACAGCTTCCACAGTTGTCTGTTATTGAGCTGGTTACTCCTGTTCAAAACATTTGCAGTGCAACTGCAGTCTAAACTAATTGTATTTTACCCAAATAGAGTATTGGCTGTTAACCACAAGATGGCAGTAACTTATGAGAAGAGAGTGGAAACATCTCTCATTGACTGCACTCTAACGTTAGCTAGCTAGCAAGTCTTCGTAGCTGTCAGTTAAATAGCCAATCAGAGCTAGCCAACGTTAGCTAAATCATTTCAAAATAATCGTCTGGTGACGAAAGGATGCGTATTTCTTAATGTTTTCTCTTGTTTTCCTCCACCTCAAGCTAATGTGTCTTCCATCTTTCAATGTTTTTTTTCTTAATCTTTCTTTCCTTTTGAACCAGAAAACTGTGACGGAGGCTGGAATCGCTCTCCTGCACAAGAACAAGTGCAAGAAGCGCTCCTTTAAAAAAAATCCTTCAAGGCGAGAATCAAAACATTCAAAGGCAACTTAATCAGGGGGGTATTCCAGAAAGGAGGTTCAACAAACTCTGAGTCTATCCCTGAACTCCGAGTTGACTTACTCTGAGATGAGAAGCTCTGAGTATCCGGTTCCAGAACAGCTGATCTGCGTTAGTTCAATCAACTCGGAGCATGTTCACCTTGAGTTAAGCGCGTGCATGACGATTATAAAAAGCCATCATCAATGGAGCCCCACGAGTCACCATGACAACAGAAAACAAAAGAGCAACACTTACACTTACAGACACATTTTTATTTCATACCTATCGAAGTCATTTAAAATGTGCCGCTGTAGCCTACACCAACACATTAAAATACTAATTAAAAAACAAAGAAACATTGAGTTCTGCTCAGACAACGGAAAGAAGGCAGAGGCCCGAAAAACAGGTGGAGAGCCACCTCCACCACCTCTGACAGAGGCGGAGGAGCCGGCCCTCAGACAAAACAGTGGTCGCCCGGTGGCTGAAGGTAACCCTGGGGGAAGCTCTTCCGAACCTGTCACCGAGACAATTTTGTGTTTTCCGTGAAAACACTTTTATTTATCAAATGAGTTGGAAAAATGAATAGAAAATATAGTCAAGACATTGACAACATTAGAAATAATTCTTATTTGAAATATTAATTTTGTTCTTCAAACTATGCTTTCGTCAAAGAATGCTCCATTTGCAGCAATTATAGCATTACAGACCGTTGGCATTCTAGCTGTTCATTTGTTGAGGTAATCTGTGGAAATGTAGACAATTAGCAAACACAATGTGCCATTAAAAGACTCAAGTGATAGTTGCTGGAAATGGGCCTCTATACACCAATACAATGTAGATATTTCATTAAAAACCAGATGATTCCACCTAGAATAGTCATTTACCACATTAACAATGTATAGAGTGTATTTCTGATTAGTTTAATGTTATCTTCATTGAAAAAAAGGACATTTCTAAGTGACCCTAAACTTTTGAACGGTAGTGTGTGTGTATATATATAGCCTACTTTTTAATTAATATATATCCACCCACCCAACAGTTGTGGATGGTGTCATCTGCACAGTTGTAAACCCTGCAGATACTCAGATCTTGCCTCAGATGGTAGTTAAAAGTATACAGTAACAGTATCTTTTCCTGCATCACAGGAGGAGGAGGATGATGATGAGGAAACTGTCTGCTGCCACAGGGAGAGATCCGAAGGGGCCTACTGAAGTGTGTCTTAATATTATCTACTGGCAGTGCTCTGCCCATTCACATTCTTGAGTGGAATTTGGAGTTTGACATGTAGACTAAAGTGATGAGCATAGTTAATGGATAACTAGCACATTCTTGTCGTTGAACAGAACATGGTTGGGCATCACCAACCCACAGCACAGCTTGAAACAATGAGATTTTCGGTCAATACCATGTTAAATCTGTATGTGGAACTGTAGGAATTAAATGTTGTCCATATGTTTCCTAGTTACCAGTAAAGCGGTAGCGTTCTAACAGAAATTCCTCTGGAAATGATAAAACGTCTAATCTGGGTCGGAAGACTCTCTCGCGACGTAAAGCATTTCGAATCACGACGGCTTCGATGTCAATTGCATTTGGTAGGAATGGGCAATCCATGTCTACCAGCTTTCTTCATGTGGGAGGAGACGGGTAGAAACTCTGGGTTTCTTATAGTAAACCTGCCAGCGAGCAGGTTATGTTCACATAGTCTGTTACCATGGTGATTGACTCAGAGTTTCAGTTACCTCTCTATCTGGAACGGATAACTCAGTTTTCCTCATTTCAGGGTTAACTTACTCTGAGTTTTCACATAACCCGCTTTCTGGAATACACCCCAGGTCATTACGGCTACGATGTTTTTGACAAAGTTAACTAAATTGTAATTACTGTTGGAGGAAATTATGGGGGCATTTTTTGCCCCTCTCCTCGTGATAACGGGGGCAAAATTATATTTCTTGGGGGCAATTTTGGCCTTTGCCCTCGTGTATTTCCGACGCTGCCATAATCTGATCTGGTCCTATGCTTTGCATCACTAGCTTGGTAGCAGTGTAGGGATTGCATTGGTGTTTGAGGAGATTATCTGGTTTGAGAGATGAGTCAAACCTGTTGGATGAGTGTTGGGAGCTTAAACCGATCGGTTTCCAGTGTGTCCCTTCTCCAGATCAACAGCACACATGTACCGAGCTGTGTAATGGTCTCTGAGCCCCCACCACCACTAGAGGGAAGTAGTTTACTTGTTTTGCTGAACTCCAGGAAGTTTACAGACCATTGGAACATCAGATTGTGTCTTTGTTTATTGAAAACTGAAAACTAACTAATTGATTAACTTAACACGCATGTTATATTGGAAGACAGACATCAGAGTGACCGCCTTGAACTTTTTTTCAAATTGACTTCATCTCGTAACAATGCTGCCTATACCTTTTTAACTCTAGACACGTATGGGATATTTAAAGAAATATTTAGATTTGATTTTCAAAAATATAATGTGGTCGCCAACTGGGAATTAATAAATAAAGCTATTATTGCACACATACAGATCCCCCCCCCAAAGGCCCAGTCCCAATGGAGCCGCTCTTAGGAGTTGTGGCGGGTCCGGCTGGCGCTGTTGCACATGAGTTTGGCTGCCAGCGATCCGTATGTCTGAGTGTTGGCCTCCGGCTGCACTTTGTCTGTGTGGCTTCTGCCTGTGAACACGGACAGCAGAGCTCATTAGAGGGATCGTGATGGCCGGGTTGCAGACATTAGCCTTCGGAAAAATCCATGGTTACTGCCAGCAGATTGAGAGCAGTCACCGCTGACCAATATATAGTAACAGGAACACAGCTGATTCAAAAACTTACTTGGAATCTTATCCAATGCGATAAAATCTGGATCCTGTTGCTTTATTTTTGGCCTGTTTCTGGCTATCAGGAAAACTCCCAGAAAAGACAGCAGACAGCTGCAAAAGAGTTTAATGGAGCGACTGTAAATGCTAGTTTAATGAGCTGCAGATACTGGTTTGCTTTTGGAATACTTACCCAAAAAGAAACATAAAAATGTTTAGTAACGCCAAGCCTTCAAATTCCTGGTAAAACACTATCCCTGCAAAAGGGAGAAAGTCCATTAAAATACATTTCACTAGGTAACGTAGTGCAGTTTATTCCGATCAAGCACTACACTGGGATAATATGGAATGCCGTTTTAGTCAAAATTAAATAAATGAATAAATACGTAAATACATGAAATATGCATTTGAAATACATCATGAAATAAATAAATGAGGCAATAAATACATAAATATTAAATACATTTAATTATTTCATGGTACTTTTATTTCATAATGCCACTTTTCATTTCATGGTACTTTTATTTCATAATGCCACTTTTGTCCGCGATGAAAAGCAGCAGTGGCGATGCACAGGACAATAAAGTCTATGATAAATAAATAAACAAATAAATAAATAGACGTGACTCTCTAGGTCGTCTTCAACAAAACACGTTACTCCGCCTGTTCTGGCGGTGAATTGCTCTGCAACACACGCAGAACCATGAATTGAAACGAGTGCGTCGACGCAATGACGCAGACGCAGAAGCATGCGCCAGCCTAAGGTCTTATGCCAGATCCAATACATCAGCACCTTGTTGTTTAGTGCAGTCAACTGCTGGTTATGTGTGGGTGGGCAGAGTAATATAGCTCAAATCCCCACACGCCTTGTGGCTTCCCCTCTGTGATGGATGTACATTATAGGCCATCAGAGCAAAAACGGCACGTTTGGTTGTCACGTCACTAGCAGTTGATCTACTTGAAGATTAACAAAGAAGGTATTGGATTTACTGATGACAGGTCCAGTTCAATAATAATAAATTGTTTATAGGGTGTGTCTTTCCCACTAGCAAAGAACACTATTACGACCAGATGGAGACCTGGCAGAACACACGCTATAAATACTTTGGGGCTTTCGCTAGTACTCGCTAGTGGTTCACACATACGAGTGAATCACCATCTTTACAGTGAGTTGTGGCATGAATTGATTTCAATATATTACAGTGAGTCTTAAAACACATCAGAAAAAGTTGGAATCTTTTTTTTCCTTTTCTGACGCCAATTAACCAAAACACAAAAATGCCTTGTAATACTCTTTCCCTTCCCTTTGCTGTTTGTGGTACTCAGCCTGTTGGTTAATACCAACTACAAAAATTGTCATCTCCGTTAAGAATAACTTCCTAATTTCACTGAACTTTCATGGAAATAAAATAAAAAACTATAACTAAAACTATACTTTTAATTGTGGATGTTGAATTAAGTTTTGGGATGGAATAATCTTTTTAAACTGCAGGTGATTGTTGGACACAAAGCAGTAGGGTGGAAAACAAGCCTCATCCTGATCTTTTATTTTAAAAAATGAAAAAACACAGCTCCATTCAGAGTTGTCCCATTGTGGCTTTTTATATTGAAACTCCATAGGCAGGTCTAGCTCCATAGGCAGGTAGGAAGAGGTGTGTCCTTTTCACAGCTGCTATATTCACACGCTGTCGCAGGGTAAACAATAATAGCATTGTGACCTTGTTCCATTCAGGCTTCAAAAACATGGCATCTTAAGTTCATGAGCTGAATACAAACCTAAAACAACACAAGCAGTTTCAGAGCAGCAGTTGTTTCAGTTGGACAAGTCACTCTGTTAGCTAGTGATTATATATGCAGGGGGCCTACAGTCAATCCCGCAGGCGAGAGACGGGGTACACCCTGGATTGGTCGGCATTCGATCGGAGGGCTGACACAGAGACAGACACACTCACATCCACACACCTACGGCAATTTAGAGTCACCATTCAACCTAATCATGCATGTCTCAAACTGTGACAGCCCTATTGCTCTTTTTAAAATTAAGAAAAATACCAAAAATATATGGAACATAGTAAAGCTTTTCTTTGTTGAAAGAGTAAATGAGTAGAAAAAAAGTCTGTGTGTGTGTGTAACTTGTGTGTGTCTAGCAGCAATAAAAGGTTGCCGTGGTGATGGTGACTGATCCCCGGTCGGGGATCTGCATAGAATCGAAGCTGAGGAGCTCCTCTCATACTACTGCTGCACAGTCAAAAATATTGAATTCTGCCACTTAATTGGTTTTACCTGAGTAGTTATGACTGATAAAAATGGTTGATTATTAATTTGTGGCACCGGGACAATGGATTTAAAGAAACATGTCGTTGTAATGGTCTTTTTATAGGATAACAGAAGGCAGTGAGTGAGGTGCAATCCCTGCAAAGAGGGATGCCTTTAAAGGTGACATACCTGCTACAATGGCACTGGCAGTGAAAAACACAAAGTTGATAGGAACCACCTCGGTGGCGTCAAACATTTTCATTGCCTGATTGAGAAATCTGCCGAGAGAGAGGAGATTGTAGAACTGCAGTGAACATAATCCCAACATGTAGCGGCCTATTCCTCTATCATCATACCCAAAGTCTCATTTCCCTCTTTGTTCGGTACCCGGGAAGTCCATTTTAAACCCACGACATGAGATTAGACAAAGAAGAAAAACCTTGACTAACTTGATCTGGAAGGCGCAGGAGGCAATCATGATGACGAGCATGACGTAGAAGATGGGGTAGATGAACTGCAGCTGGCCTTTTATTGTCTCTGTGATCATTCCTGACACGGCTTTGACTGAGATGACTGTCAGAGAGGCTGCAGCAATAGACAAGCAACAGATCACTTCAGGATTGAGCCACAACAGGCTCATGCTGATTTGTAGAGCAGTTTTAGTTGTTTTTTTTATCACGCTCTGCTCAGCTCTCGACTGAAGCGATGGGCAGAGCGCGAGTCCATGTTTCGGTAGCCAGGCAACAACAGCGAACTGCCTAAAAACAGCTTTATTCAGAACCTCTGGCCTCAATCAGACAGCTTTGATGTGTTCATACCGAGCAGGGCCACCAGCAGCATCACCACGACGATGTGCTTCACATTCCTCTTCTTGTACACGTAGAGCAGGATGCAAAATAAAAGCACCTCTAGGGACTGTTGAGAGTGGATGTACAAATCATTAATAACATGAAATTTGAGTTACTTTTACTGTCTTGTCTGTGTAACAAAGTGCTGCATTGAGTGTCAAACTATAATTGAAAAATTGTAGATTCAGAGAAATGAAATGAGTTGCCTGGTGTTTAGCATTCTGCTCTATTGGATGGAGAATAATTGAGGTAAAGGTAGAATGCGGATGAAGGAAAAAAATGTCAAGGAGAACTTTAAAATAAATATTTACTTTAAAGTAAATATGTTAATCAGTGGGCTTATTTCACTCCTCTCCATGGAAAGGTGCGTGGAGAATTTAGGCCAGCACACGATGTGAATGAGGTTGTTTTATAGTGTCACACATGAAAGCGTTTGACAATAGCACGACCCCTGGGACTAGCCAGAAGACAGCATTGGATATTTCCCTCTCCTGACTAATGGCCAGCCCACGGTTCCTCCCGCGCAGCCACAGGTCTTCCCTCTGAAAGTCTGATGTGTATTCATGACACACTGATAGAAATGGTGCCGTTCATGCCGGGGCTTTGGTTTTCTTTTGTTAATGGAAAAGCAGCTGGATTTGACCTTCTGCTACAGAAATTTTCCTTTTAAAAACCATCTAGGGGACGTTAACATTTTTGCGCTGAGCAGGTTGAGAGAAAAAAGCACTCTGCTTCATTCTGCATCAAAGCAATCTCTTTGGTAATAGCAAAGTCTGTGCCGTCCGTGCATACAGGGAACATTTGAAGTAGGATAGCAAATAGGTTTGTGGTAATTCCCTTTCAGAACCATGAGGAGAGGGCAGTATTTAGCTTAAATGTTGAGTGGACAACAGCGTGAATTACTAAACTGACTCCCCAGGACCATACACACTGGACTCTGTAAGGGTTACATACAAGGTAAAGCACGAAGTACCAGCTGACGATGTAGTACTGGATCAGATGGGCTGTGATGTGTGTGATGGTGTGGGGGGCAAAGGTCACCAGGACGTAGGTGCCCGTTATTGCTAGGCTTCCACCTGTGGAGGAGAGGGAGATTGTCGTCAAATGGTTTTAGTCTCAGTCTCAATTAACTACTACAGTAAATTCTAAAAACTAAATGAAGAGGATTTTAAAACAGCCACTAAAACATCTGAAATGCTTCCTGTTGTGAATATTTTTTTAAACAAAGTGTATCATGTAGCTGCTCAGTAATGAGGCCAATCATACATGGTGAAAATTATATATGAATGAAAGTTCTTGGATATGGTTATTATTATTATACAGAACATTTAAAGATTATTCATCAATTGATGATATTGCTGTCAATTAATTTGATATGTCACATGTTATTATTTGTCATACATTATTTTATATTATGCTATATACCGGTAATACAAATCATTAATCTGTTACATCTTTGGGCATAATCCATACAGTTAAATGTTTACGATATATGTCAACCACAGGACTACAACCCAGATGCTGCTGATCGTTTTGAGGTGCTGATGGACACTTTTAATCCAGCATTGAGCAGCACTCCACAGTTTGTTATGACAAACAGCAGCTTCTCATTAAACAATATGACAGAATGTCTGTTGAATACATGACTTTATTCCCCAACTGGCAGAAGCAGACGTTTTGACAGCATGTTTCCGTTTCCTCTCCCAATGGATTTCACACTGAGATAAGTCACTCCGATATGTCTCGTCTCTAAGATGTCACTTCCAAGTACGTCCTCAGCGATCCACACCGGAGCATCTGCTTACCAACAACGTCAGAGACACGCACCGTCTCCTTGAGGAAAATCACAGATATGACAGCGCTGGCTGGAAAGAGAAAAATATACGCCTGTTAGTTTAACCATGAATAAAAAACTGGATTCATTTCTGGATTCTTTACTGACGATTGACTTGATAAAAAAAATAGCAATTGAACCCCGAGCGTTGCAAACACACTGGCTCTATACTTGATATTGTTAGGGTTTCGGAAAGCTCTCGAGGGAGGCCTCACTCCTTTGTTCTCGTCCCGGCCGGAAACGAAGAATCAAAAGAGTCAGCTTGCTTAAATTCAAAAATCAAAAAGTATTTAATAACTAAACAACAATATAAGGAATACAATTACAAAGTGAAATACAAAGCGAACAGTAAAATATTTTGCGATAGAGAATAGAGATAGAGAATTCTCTGAGCAAGTCTAAAGCGACTTATCAAAGCGGCTGCAGGGAAATTCTAAGAGTCCTTTCCCCGCTTTGGTTCTTTGAAAACTCTTGAGGTGTGTCTTCTTTGGTGCATTTGAATGTCATTGGCTTCTCCTTCAAAGTGTCCCCTCATGGACTGTCCCCTTCACATCAAGGTGTGAAGCTGTAGCTGTAACCTGAAACCTCACTGTCCTATCTGTCCCTCACATTCCAATGCATTCAATGTAGATACAGTTGGCTTTATGCCTCAATGAGTGAATATAACAAAGCATGCATAGTTTGTCTTCATCTTTTAACTAGTACACCTTAATTACAACACATCATTAATGATCACCGTTCATCACACTTCATCATAAGATCTAAATAGTTCATGTGGTCCAATACTCAAGACGTTTGCCTCAGTCGGCTGCCTTACATTAAGTTGTTCATTTACTACCTGACAGGAGAAAAAACTCCTAAAAACTCCTCTTTGGGGATAAAATTGGGAGAAATCCATAAAGGACGGCAATTAGCCTCCACCCCCAGGTTTTAACATCACATTGTGACAGAATGCTAATATGTACAGAGTTTATATGATTTAAATGACTATACATTGTGTTTGATTCAAATTGCATTCACTTCATCTAACATGTTAATGTAATAACTAATATCTAACATCACAAACTACAGTTCTAACACTAAACATTATTACACATACTATAATTCCACCACTAGGGGTGAACTTCTGGCTTAAATCCCTAACAATATCACATGATATAAAGTAATGATATTTTACAATGTATACTCATATATAATGTACATTGTATGTACAAACAAATCACATGCAGTAACACATACACACAGAGCCCTCAGACACACACAAGTGTGTTTGAACGTGTATTTATATAAATTCATATGTACACAATGCTCGACATGTCCATGTTGATCAGCGTGATCAAATGTGTCAGCGTGCTCAGATAAATGGAACTCGTTATGAATTCATAAGCATCAAATCGCGACGGGCGGCTATTCCTCGCCACACTTCCCGTAAAGCTATTAGTCAATATCATACATGTCAAAAATAGCAACGCTGGAGAGCAACCAGGGTCACCTTGCCCAGATCAATCTTGTTCTGGAGGGCCGGGGTCTGTATACATGGTTTTACTGTGGCGGGGACAGGCGTGCACGGATCAGTGACTACACAAAGGCACTCACTGCCTGAGACAGAAAAAACAAGCCCTGAGACAAGTTGGCAGTGGACAGAATGAAACTGTGTGCCATCTTCTAGCTTTCCCTCTCCCTCCTCTGTCCAACTGGAAATCATTACGTACCTGGATATATTCTATAGCTATATCCCTAAACAATTCCATAGAAAAGGGTGCTGGATATATTTTGGAATATAGAAACATTTTCCTCTTCAACAGGACAAGTGTGTTTGAGACATGGATGTCAGTGTTTCCCAGAGATCCAACGTCAATGTGTGGGGGCTAACGGCTGAACTGGAATAATTGCTTCAATATTAATTTGTAACACAGAACTTTATTGGAGTAAATACAAAACAGGGATTCACGCCTATACAAACTTCATACTACTTGTTGTTACAGCCTACATGCGCAACTTCTGTCAGAGGATTTTGCGGGGCTTGCTAAAAAGACACGGGAGACGGACGCCGTGTGCACGGAGGGGAGGGACTGTGTGTGTGTGTGTGTGTGTGTGAGATGACAAATTAGTCTATGTATGGGAAACACTGGATGTGCACAATCCCTCTGGGACATTACTGTCAATGGGGACATTTAGAAAGAAATATCTCATACTACGAGCATGTTCACACATACATTAAGGACCCCTTCTTTGCCTCTGGGCCCAACTAGATCCAACCAGTAACCATAGCAACTCTGTAAGAAGTGAGATTCACACGGCTTGATAAAATGAGAATGTGATAACCGCTGGGGTCCACACTTCTGTCATTGCTCCAGTGTCTGTGTGTGTGTGCTTGTGCTCTCTCAGATATGTCGTAATTGACCCTCCTTGTGGTAAAACACATAATTCTTGTTATAATTAACCAGAAACAAAGAAAACGGTCAAAGAAAGAGCACCCAATGGTCTGCCGTGTGTGATACGAGTCCTCAGCGTTGATTTATATGTCACATGACTTCCATATTTAAGTGATGCCACTTTAGTAGTTATTTCAACCCATTAATCCTGTTAGTTGGTAAGTAAGTGTTTTAAGATCTAAACCTGGAGAAGTGTTAGTTTTAGATATTTTCCTTGTCACAGGTTTACATTTCCCGCTAAAAGACAGATATTTATTTTGATTAATAAAACCATTTCTCTTCCTCCTCTTTCTGATGACTTGTTACGTGACGCAGAGGCCGAGGCTTTGGTCCGTCCAACCAGCTGTCATTCCCAACAGAGAGAAGTGGCCTCCGTGGAGGAGGCAGTGAAACTCACTCGTTGTGGAGTGTCGGCGTGCTGATGTGACATGTTGGGAGAGACGGATGACAGCAGCATCATCCCCCCCCCCGTCCGACAACCGTCCTCCTCTTCCTCGGTCGTCTCATTAGATGAAATGTCTTCCCAGATCTTCCTCATCATCATCTCACCATCCTCCAAAATCCTTTCCCCTCTTTTTACACAACCCAGACACTAGCCTCCCTCTTGTTTACATACACAAGGCCTCCTGCAGAAGCTGTAGAAAACCAGTTAGGAACCCATTCTGTGTGTGTCTGCTCATTTTTGTACAACATGTGAGACGGTCTCCACTTGTTAAGACTGAGGGGGACAGACTGTCTCAGCAGCAGACATCGTCCTCTCCTTTTCCGACTCCCTTCATTAATTCTCCAAGACACATTCCAGCTGCTCTCAAGCTACCCTCGTGTTGAACAATTGCTGGTTTTCCTAGGGACCATAATGATAGTAAAACGTAAATGAGTGCAGGAATCTCTAACACCCGTGGCTTTAAGGACAGCACCAATAGGTCACAGATCTACGGAAAACGAGGCGCAGGAGACCTTTATATTTAACACCATTCATCTGCTTGGTGGGACGTGACCGTGGGAAAAACGGATGGTTTTGAAGCGTTGGGGTAATAGCTGTCGTTTATATCCATGACTCAGTGCCGCCACCTCCTCCTCCAGTGATTGATGCAAGGAGCGAGCTGTGTGTTCGCATGGAGCCGCTGCAGCAACCGGGCTGGCCTTTGTTTTGATTAGCTAATGATTTGGGCTCAGCTCATGACAGCTTAAGTTCATACTGTGGGCTATAGAAAATTGAAAAATCATATCTGGAGCAGGTTTGTTGGATTTATAACGTCAAAAGTAATTTGGCATCCTCAATCACCCACGACAGTTGAAGGGTGGAAATCATCTTGATGTAGGAAATTAGAACAGAAATGAACATGCAACTACACACTGATCTGCTGTGTAAGGCTGTAGATCAACCCACTAGTGGTAAAAAAGGTTTCTGAGGCGCACAGTATCTGCCTCGCCAGCCCAGATGTATGGCTGCGAGGATGGAAATAGCACAACTATAAATACAGAACATTCTTATTGCAGTTCTCAGTTTTTATTTACAAGGCACTGTACAGATTTGTACCTTAATTATATACCAAGAAATGCCCGATATTTAAAACAAAGAACTTGCCAAAACATTGCCTATTTTTTTATTATTGAGCAAGTGAAACAGACTTTTGGAACGGCATAGTATCTGTTCTATACTACAACTCCCTTTCTCTATTCATAGTACAGAGTTTGCTCCCCCCATATACAACCGGTCCATTTTAGCATAGTATTGCCTCCAGTTGTTCCCAGGGGAAGCAACATTTCCTGTATCATTATGAGGGGGGAAGAGGTGGCACTCACCTATGACAGACACACTGCCCAGGGGGGCTATGAGCGATGCTGGGGCGAAGCCGTAGGCGGCAAAGTTTCCCAGCTCCCCGATCCCCATGAGAGCCACGCCGCACCACCACACCGCGGACGTGTAGTACGGCTTAGAGTCTCGCTGAGACTGACGGACGTGGGCATATTTCTGCCGGGAAGAGAGGGAGCCACAGGCATCAGTCAGAAGTAGCACAGCTGATAACTGGAGAGCTGCTTGAGACAACATACAGCACCCAAATAACCACAGCTTTCACAGCCATATATATTACATCTTGATCCAGTATTACAGAGACTGTCACATCATTACACCACCTGCTGATTAGCATTTCATCTCACAAATGACACTAATTAAGCAAATCAATGAGCTAGGATGCTAATGCTATTAAACAATGGTTTTGAGCCTATTCCAGCCCTTATCAAGTGGAAGCTTTTGGTCTGTCTTACAGACCCTCCTGGCGGCTGCCACAAACACACCAGTTTCTGCCCCTGCATTAAAAGGAGGTTTAGCATGTGCCAAACATCTGTTTAGACATAGCATTAAGCTAACAATGTATTCTTTAAACTGACTATTTCAACTGTTTACCCTTTACTTTTACATAACAATTAGCTATTTGGACAACTATTTGGGAGTCTAGCTGTGCTCAGAGACTCGAGAAATGAGTCTTAACAGGTGTCAAGGGCCTTCCTACCTGTATGTTAAGTGAAATGCTGATGAGGATATTGCCACATATGGATATTATGATTCCCAGGAGATAGGTCTGTGGGGAACAAACAGTTAAAAGGCACAAGATTACTACTCGTCACACAACAAACACCCCACAATATTTTGTGCAAGTCTGACACCTCTGTCATTTCCGCGACAATCACAGAGACACTGGTGCTCTGCTCCAAGGCACTTGCGCTTGTATGTTTGCCGCACAAACACAAACAATCGGCCATCCTCTGCATTCCCCCACCGATATGCGATGCCTCACAAAGGTGCATGGATGCAGGTTAACGCACACGTTTGGACACAAAAATACATTTTGGGGAATAGAACTGCGGCAAAGTGAAAACCAGATATTTCCGACGAAAGACACTAGCATGCCTAAAAAATATGGACTGGGCCTTGGAGGGGACACAACCCAACACAGCTGTCTACAAGGATGACATGTCCATATTTTATATTGAGCCATTTACTTTCCAGAGAATTTTCACACTTGCTGCAGTAGGCAGGGTGGAGAAGCAGAGAATGGGCGATTTACTGGGCAGTGGAGTGACACCCTACTGAAGTGAAGTTTCAATGAAAGATGCGAAGGAGAATTCAAAAGGATTTAGGGATTTAGGGCTCCCAGAGCATTTAACTCCACTTTTACTACGTTATGTAATTATTATGTAACCGCGTAATTCACCAACTTTTTTGTGCATAATTATTCATTTCAGTAATGTTCCAGTTAATTTGATGAATTATCCATAAATATGAATAAATTACACAAAGCTTGTTGAGTTCGATGCCTTGTTATCAGGGACTGACTGTAGGTGGGTAACGTGGTCTGCTGAAAATAACATACTTTAATATTTAGTGTGAACATTGGTTTGGAGAGCTGCCCGTAGACAGATTGAAATGTCAGCAGCAGCTGTTCATTCGTGTGTATTTTTTGGCTCACCCTATTCTGCTCTGGGCAATAGGCGCGGCTGAGAAGGTACAAATCAAGCTTGCTGTAAGGCATTTTGTTTTTGGGGTTCCTAAGTTGAATTTACTTCATTCAAATCATTTTGTTTAGTAAGCTTTAAAAAAAACGAAAACTGTCATACATTTGGACACATCCTGGTATGTTGCCATCTCATCTGCATGTTTTCTAACTCTCCTGTCATTTCAGATCTTCACACATTATCAGCTCATTACCCTCACCTGGCTCTCCTTGCCCTTCTCACCTGCATCAGCCACTCACCATTTAAGCCTGTCACGTTCGGTTGTTGCCTGCCAGATTGTCTTGTGTATTTGCCACTTTTTCCAGTGTTTTCCCAGTTAGCCCAATATACTTTTGTTTCCATGCCTGCTCCTACTCCGATTTGATTGCCTGCCTTATTGCCATCCTGGTTGCGACCCTGCCTGTCCTCGTCTACGGATTCCTCGCCTGCCCTTCTGGATTTGTTTGCCTTCTGACGGATCTTCCGGTTTTGAACCTGCCTGAACTTGAGTAAAGCTACCTGTCTCTTTCATCGGTGTCGGAGTCGTGCTTTTGTGTTCCAGCATGCATCGGTACCAGTAACCATTACAGAAAACTAGTTTCTCTGCTATTCCTGCATATTAAACAATGTTTTCAACCTACATCACACACTGGCCATGGTGCCCAAAAACCTCATGATACAAGGTAAGATACCGTTTTTGTAGATAATTGGTGCATAAGAGACGAAAAGAGAAACAGAATCTATTTCTTCCAAAGTGTTCTAGAAAACGTCAGGATACATTTCCCTCATATGCTTAGAAAATGATTGCCAGGAGGAAATTTAATTCTAAGCCATAAACACACAGGTAGCTGTGGGTGGACAAAGTTTACAAAGAAATGAAAGCATGCAGTGGGGGTGGAATATGAATGAGGAAAAAGAAAGAAACTCAATCACTGCAGAAGAAGTAACAGCAGCCAAGTATTTATCTCTTGAAAGAGCATTATGAGAGAGAGGGCTGGAGGGGCAGGATGCGAGATGGGAACTAAAACAAAAGACTAGGAGGTGGAGAAGCTGCTAAATGAAAGGGAGGAAGAACCAGATTGTGTGAACAAGTAAATACTACATATACAACTAGAAAAGGCACATTCTGTTGTAACGTTTGATTGAATGAATTCAACTCGTAATTCGTGTGGACACAAATTACATTTTTAATATTTTAAATTCTTAACTTTAACTTTATTCTCTTGTTTTATACTAACCCATATAACCCATTGCATTAGCATTTCATTTTACTTTATTTTATTACTTGTGCACTGCTGTCTTGTTGTCTATTGTTACACTGTCTACTGTCACGCACCAACCGCAAAGACAAATTCCTTGTATGTTTGACATATTTTGGCAATACATTTTTCCTGATTCCTGATTGAATTTGTCGGGTCACATTATCCAAAAGCTAAACACAGGATCCAGAGTTATTCTGGAGCTCTGTCAGAGGAAATTATGAGAGAATAGGAAACGTGTCGTCGCACCCTAAGGGGAAGGAGCTGTCATTAGAGCTCCTTCCCCTCTGAATAGAGCTCTTTGATTCAGCATTAAGCAAAGACCAAAGCACATTCTCTGAGGGAGCAAAAGAGCCTTCTGCTCTCTCCGTCAGCCTCAGAAACTACAGGAAAGCAAACACAGTTTTATTACCTTCTCTTTTAGAGAGGCAGGTCTCGTCCTCAAGTGGGCTTTATCACAAGGGCAAAGTGGAACAGCAGTGTTATAATAATATATACTGGAGACCCACTGAGATCAACAACTGCGCTGCTGACTTTAACTGGCTACAAATTATATTTATTTACCTATCAATTATTAACGATACAAAAGTAATTAATTGATTCCCTTGAAAGCCTAAGAGTACATCCATGTGGAACTCAAATGCTATATACTGTAGATAATAAGTAGCATGCTTACATCCTAAAGAAAATTACAAGGTTATTGTAAAATTGTTTAGCAGGTAATGTTAACCATGTTCAACATGTTAGTTTGTCGTGTTATGTTTACAGTGGGTGGCGTGGTGGTGTGGTGGTTAGCACCGTCGCCTCACAGCAAGAAGGTCCTGGGTTCGACTTCGCCCAGTGGCCTTTCTGTGTGGAGTCTGCATGTTGTCTGCGTGGGTTCTCTCCCCTGGCTTCCTCCCAGCCCAAAGACATGCTCCGGGGAGCAGGTTGATTGGGAACTCTAAGTTGCCCGTAGGTGTGTGAATGTGAGTGTGAATGGTAATGTATGTCTCTGCGTTAGCCCTGCGATTGGCTGGCGACCAATCCAGGGTTTACTATGGCGGCAAATCACTGTCAAAATTCGAGAGTCGAGCTCGAAGGTGTTTTCTACACGCTCGCTGTTTTACTTTTTGACAGTAAGGGGGGCGGAGCCAGTCACCAAGGTATCTACATCTGATTGGTTACAAACCCTGTCTTTGGAATGGCTGGAGTGATGCATTCACACAACTATAGAAGCCCATTTCCGCACTAAAGAAAGGGGATAGAAAGTCGAAATTATGAGATAAAACGTTGTCAAAAAACAAACGCCCCCCTTCGGTAATCGTAGTGGACCGTAGATGACAACCAGCTACAACCATCATTACCGGCACATTAAGAGCAATGCGTCCAATGCGAGGTTTATATTGAAGGGGTCCAGGGGGCATATTGAGGGGTTGTGTGTGGAAGCCCACTGCTGGATGCAAACACTTCACACGGGATATGTAGCCGTTTGGAGTGTGAGGACAGGCGGCAACCCCCTGTTCTGCCAAGTGATGTAAAAGTGTCTTAAAACATGAATTCTCTCTACTGACCACCAGGTTCCCTGGTCCTATAGAATCGATGACTCCCTTGATTTATTCCCTCAGTAAACAGGAGTTTATGGTCTCAATTTCTAGTTTCAAGTATTCTTTAATACAGCACAATGTTAATTTAGTAAATAATAGTCCATTTAGAGTCAAATGAAAAGCAGAGTATACTTTAAGGCAGGACTACTAGGATTGACAGGTTGCTAACAGAGCCATGTATGATGTCTAAGTGTAACAAGTGCACGACAAATATGTCCACATGTTACAAATACAGTCTTTGTGAGGAGATATTCATATAATTGTGGAACTGGATTTACTGCCATTACATTAAGCTTTGCAAGGAGGTGAATTCCATCTTAGCACAATATATTATTCTTCTTGTCTGTTTTTGTCTCAGTGTTGGAGGAACGGAGAGCGCCTGAAGCTCAATACCACAGAGGGAGAGCAAGAGGAAGATAAACAGAGAGAGAGAGAGAGTTCCTGTCACAGGAAGAGCAAACAAACGCAGCTGAGGCTGGTACACTAGGAGTGGCTTTGGGTTGTAACTTACTTAGCAAACATTACCCACTTGACGTGACTAAAGGAAACCAAAAGTAGTGCACTGCTCTGTACTCCTTAGGCTTTCCTGATTCACCAATGAAGTTTAATAGAGCGGACCTTTTCTTGTGCTATTGTTCAGAGGCTGCATGGGAAGACCTTGGGGATCCACTTCATCTGGTGGAACTTTACTAAGGGTATCTAACTACTGAACAGTATAAATCATCAAAACATCAGCACTAGCACATCTCTGAACCCTTCAGAACCCTTCAGGGTCTGAACCCTGTTACCTACATCTAACCTCACAAGGACATATATCTTCATAAGAGCGTTTGTAAATATTACACACACTACTCCTGTGACAAGCAATTTTCCATAAGCAAGTACTTGCGCAAAATAAATTATGACCACTGGATGAGAACAGAACACCTCTCCTACCTGAATCTAAACTAAAGATGAAGCAACGAAATGAGCCTTTAAGCTAATGTAAAGCTAAGGTCGGCATTGATCCTCGTCCTCGCTAGAACACAGAGTCAAAGAGAGACAGCTAGATGGACAGCATGGCCCGTTGTGTCCACTAACAATGGGGATCTGTCTGTCCCTGCGATGGGCGGATCCCTGGATGAGGCCTGTCAGTTTCCACACAGAGATGATGGGCACAGTAGAAGCAGAGAACTTTATTTTGTCAGTTTATCATTGGATTATATAAAAATATGAATAAAAGTCTGACAGCTAATTTAAGCCAAACATGTTGTCACTACTTGCTAACATCTTTAGCTCAAACAACTTTATGACTGCTGAAACAAAGGCTGTAAGCAAGGTCAAATCCCAACCTACCATTAGGGAACACATGCAATATATATATATATATATATATATATATATATATATATTGTAATGTACATCCCATAATACAAAATGTCTTGGGGATGATGGAGCAAACCCACAATTTTGTTATTTCAAGGACCTTCTAAAAAAGGGCAAAGGATATGGCAAAATGCCAATAAAATGGCAATGTATCTTGTGTATGAGACATATATTATCAGGTGGTCACCTTAAGAATCCCTAAGGACTAAATATCCAAGACCAGAACATGGAGCTAGTGGCTGTGAAAAAGAACCAGAGCGATGGACAGACAGACCATGTCTGTTGCTGAGACAAAGAGGCACCAGGCAGCCCCCTTTGCACCAGGCAGCCCCCCTGAGGGCACTCCTATGTGGGTATCGGAGCTGTACATGTTTTTTTCAACATTAACCCTTTCACACAGAGTAGTTTTGCTTCAAGAAAGTGAATTGTAACATTTCAGTTGCCTATAAATGTCTTATTCAAAATCCCGTTAAACCTTGCCACAAATAGCACTTCCATATGAACAAATGAGCTTGAGAAATAGTCCATCACAAGAGCCAGTTATGTCTTTGGGACGCGTAGATGACTCCTGTTCACATCCATTAACACGTGAGCCAACTGCCGAGGGGAGCTCAGACCACCTTGATGCACTCTCGCAGCACTAACGCGTTCCCACCCTGGGAGGCGAGACCAGGGTAGACAGACAGACAGACAGACAGACAGACAGACAGACAGACAGTCCCCTGGTTGTCAGTGTTCTCTCTGGGATGGTGGGTAGCTGGGACCATTAGCCAGCTGGCTCAGGACTCTTACAGTAGATCCATTCTCTGCCAGCCCACACGTGGGCCATTAGTCATTACTCACGCCTCCTCTGCCCTCCGATGCTAATGTCACACACAGGAAACCCACCGATTGGGGAAGATGAGCGTGAAGAGAATGGGAGCAGCGCAGTGGAAGGACAAAAGACACCTGTTGTGAGTCAGTCTTAGGGTTAGCAAAACCCCCACACACACGCACATATTAACATTCACAGAGCTCAATTAAGCTTACAAGTCCACTTGCAAAAAAAGACCTTTCAACACAATGACTTTGACCCGATCACTTTAGAAAAGAGTCGTGACAGGTGCCATAACAGATTTAGCCCAGCCTGGCGTGGCTACCTGATTCACACTGAGTGCTCATTAACCAAAGTGCTTTGGTCCTGCAGGCTATACTTGCACTTACAATATTTTCAGACCAACTTTATCTCCTCTTGCACATTAGTTTGTGACCTCCTGAGATCCTCAAAGTTAGTCGCCCGGGAGCATCCTCACCTACCTCTTATCTCTTCAGTCCTGATAGTATCTGGACAGTTGAAACAGGTTTAGCTTGGCTTTATATCACAGATGAAGATAACGAAGGAATAACACACTGACACAGAAATTAGCTTAATACACTGGCTGTTTTAAGTGGTATTTGGTGGGAAAAGATTAGAGTGACACTGTGGAACAAAGGTGAATTATGCAGTCACATTCACTACAACACTGTACTTTTTGTGATATTCTTGTTGTCCTTGAAAGTATACGTTTTTATCTCACATTACACGCGTGTTTTCGTCTATGTTATGCATTAAGCTATTCTGCAATCAATGAAATAACCAAGTACTGGTAGGTCATCCACACAAGCTACGCGACCGAACAGCGTGGAAGTGAATCAAACTCACCCGGAGTGGATTCTCCAGGATCTCGGCCCGGTGAGCCCCCGGGGAGCTCGTGTTGAGGGCCGGCTGAGGAGCACTGGAGTTTGCCACGTTGTCCGTGTCATTTAATACGGACATGATGTAGAAAAAGTCGGGCTAAACAGCGACGTCCGCTCAACTCATTCCGTCCTGCACGTCCCGTCCGCTTGAGCCCGGAGAGGTTGGGCGTTGTGGGGTGTGTGTGTGGGGGGGGGGGGCGCAATTCACGTGCTATCGGGAAAAATGAGACGTTTCCATCTGAGATCGTTAAAGGCTATTTAAATTGATTTGCATTTTGCCGTTGATTAAAATCAAGTTTGAAATATAGTCTGCTTAAACTTCAAGTACGTCATCACTTTGTTACTAGAACCACTTTGTCGGTATTCATTGGTCACTTAGCTGACATACGACATAACTAGGTGCCCTTGAACGCAGCAATTGGGGACGGGTGCAGCTCCTGTGGCTCGTGCAAAGAGCGCTTCAGCGCAGGTACACGCGCAGAGGCCCATGACGTCCTGACCTGGACATGTATTTGCATCCCGGTAACTAAGCACGTTGCCCCCTGCTGGCAGGCAATCAAGACGACACATATGACATATGTATATGATTATACATATGACATATGTTGACGACGACCTAGAAAGTAACGTCTATTTATGTATTTGTTTGTTTATTTATCATAGACTTTATTGCCCCGTGCATCGCCACTGTTGCTTTTCATCGCGGATACGTTTGTCCCGTATTTTCCTCCACAACTTTGTGCACCTCTCGACCGGCAAACCGGCGTTTGCGGCGATCTCCCTCCGTGAATCCAACCCGTTTCTACAACCCGCCAATGACGGCTTGTATAAGTGGTCATATGTACGCATTTCTTCCGACAAAAGTTCTTAAATCTGATCCGTTCTCTCGTAAACATTTTTCGTTTTAATAATGGCGGTATCGGGCTATGAAAACGGAAATGTGAGACTCCGTGAAGGATGTAGTTAACGGACCAATCGCAGCCTTGTGCGCTGCTGGAGGCTTGAGTTGCTTGCACACGCAAACACGCTAGGAGGTACGCAAGGGACACGCAAGGGGGTCTTGCGTCTGCGTCGCTCTGAAAACGCAGAAGCATAAACTAGGCTTAACTGAGTGGGAACCAATAATAAATGTAAATGGCATTTTAGAATCCCTATCTTAACTGTTCTCCTCCACAGCCTAACTTTAACAATGTAACCTTTGTTTTATATCTAACTGTGAACACTAACAATGAGGCTTTCATAGTGTGTTCATAGTGTTTCTTCCTTTACTGGTAGTTTGTGATATTTCAAGCTGTCTCTCGAGCTATCTCGCTGTAATTAAATGTTACAGAACTATTTCTTTAGAAGGCAAGGCCTGCAAACAAGGAAGCAGATCCAAGGAAACCTCTTTTCCGGAATAATCTATCATGAATAGTCCCCCCTCCACAAAGCAGCCCATTAAACACAGCCGTGTGGGAGAAGAATTAATCAAAGCAGCCCGCTTCAATTGAAAGCAGACAACAAATAATCTGAACAAACAGCCGCAGTAATCCTGAACAGAGCAGTTGATACAAACATCAAGCTTCTTCACCCATGCTAATAAAATCTGAGGTGTGCCGTCAGAGATACATTTCAGTACTAAGCGGGAAGACTCTAAATCAGATATGCTGCACAGAAGATGAACACTTCCCAGCAGGTAAAGGATAAACACTGGCTGTAGCCTAATGTAATCCTAAAAGCTGTGACATCCGAACTCCTTCCAAATGTGGAATAGTAAAAGGCATGTGGGCGCCTTTCTGGGATTATAAGGCTTACTCTGAGAGGAAATATGGTGTGAAATAAGAGGAAACATGGTATGAAATATCCAGAACACTACAGATCGTAAACATCAAGGAACCTCGGAGAACAGAGGATAGAGTAAAATTGTAAATTTATTCTATTTTCTTGCACTAAGTTGTCTTATGTGTCTTGTCCATTGTCTTACCATGTTGATGTTATGCACCAACCGCCAAGTCAAATTCCTTGTATGTCTAACATATTTTGGTAATAAATGTTCCTGATTCCTGATGATAACTGATGATGGGTCGACAGGTGGCGCTGGGAACCACAAGGTTGGTGGTTTGAACCCTGGCTGCTCCATGTCCCCCGTCGAAGTGTCCCTGAGCAAGACACCTAACCCCTAATTGCTCCCTGGGAAAAAATGTAAAAGCCATGGGTTGAAAAAATGCAATGTAAGTCGCTTTGGATAAAAGTGTGAGCTAAATGACCTGTAATGATGCACAGGCACCCCATAATACATAACATCCCCAAACAACCTTTGATTCAAATTTTTTTGCAGTTTTGCATTACTACATTACAGTACTATAAACACAGAGTAAATGGACTGTACTCGTATAGCGCTTTTCTAGTCTTCCAACCACTCAAAGCGCTTTAACATTACATGACATCATTCACCCATTCATACACTGATACACTGACACTGATACACTGATGATGTGTATGGTAATACACAGAGCCACCTGCCATCAGTAACTAACATTCACACACACTAGTCGCAGCTAAAGGAGCAATGTTGGGTTAAGTGCCTTGCCAAACTGGTCTAACGCATGCGCTCACTAAGTACTAAAGTACAGTGGCCCTGAAGTGCAAAACACAATGGCAAATAGGAAAACACAACTGCAAATAGGAAAACACAACGAAATTAACTTCTTACAGAAAGGGTAGGGCCTTATAGCAGATAGCAGAGGACGGACCCTTCTGATTGGACAGACAGACTGTTTTACGAGTGTCTTAAAGGTGTCCTACTAGTGTTGTTTTGCCGGTGTTTTGTTGTTGTTGTAAATAAATTGGTGGGGGGGAGTGCGGTGGACGCTACGGGGGGGTACCGCGGACGCTACGGCCCGTGGACGCTATGGGGGGGTACCGCGGACGCTACACCGTGGTTCGGGGGACCGGACTCCGATTCCTTGGCGTGAGGAATTGGATGGAGTGCGTGACTGTCTCGCTCAATGCGTGACACTTGAGAGCCCTGTATCATTTCCTGTTAAAAGACAGACAGTCCGTCTGTCCAATCAGAAGGGTCCGTCCTCTGCTATAAGGCACTACCCTTTCCGTAAGGAGTTAATTTTGTTGTGTTTTCCTATCTGCCATTGTACTTCCTATTTGCGTTGAGCGTTCCCATTTGCCGTTGTGTTATGCACTTCAGGGCCACCGTACTAAAGCCTAGTTTATGCTTCTGCGTTTTCAGAAAGACGCAAGGACACGCAGACGCAAGAGCCCCTCGCGTGTTCCTTGCGTGCCTTTTCTTTTTAATGAGGGGTGAACAAAGTTGTGGAGGAAAATATGGGACAAATGTGTCCGCAATGAAAAGCAACAGTGGCGATGCACGGGGCAATAATGTCTATGATAAATTAAATACACAAACCAACAACTTCCCCACACAAAGACGTGACTCTCTAGGTTGTCTTCAACAAAAACACATTACTCCGCCTATTGTTCTGGCGGGGAATTGCTCTGCAACACATGCAAGCCTTTTAGAACCATGAATTGAAACGAGTGCATTGACGCAACGACGCAGGCGCAGAAGCATGCGCCAGCCTTTAGCCTGCGGGCCGTATGTTTGACTCCCCTGGTGTAGGGGATCTGTCGACCTATGACATCATCTATAATAGCATATTGGGCGCACCTGAAGAGCATAGGGTTAGTTTTTATTAAATGGCTAAAATGCATCCAGTGCGAGAAGACGCTGCAAGTGAATATGACTGTAAAGACCCAATAAGTATGAGCATATCTCATGGTTTTAAAGGTGCTTGTGTTAAGCTCCAACTGTTGGGGAGAAAATAGCAAATGTGATAAAATATTAATGTACGGGCTACCTGGGTGTAACAATCTGCAAATGATGGATCCTATTTAGAAGTAAACCGTTCTAGCAGCCAGTCGTTAGGTTGCCAAATAAGTGCTGCAAAACAATACAGCAAGTGAGGAAATTGCTTCAAATAGCCCTAACTGTGTTTTATAACGCGGTGGAAGCCCGCAGAAAAAAGACTGTCACGGTGCCACAGCCTGAGGAGCAATAGCTGCTATTAGAATCTCCTTCTTCGGACAGAACGGAATGAAGTGATGTCGACAACATTCACCATTGCTGCTTAGCATCTGTGTTGGGACGAAAACTGTGCAGCAAACAAAAGGGGAGTTTGTTTAAACCAAACCAAACAGGTTAGGTGTACCGCACCCTTAGACATAAAGCCAGGTCTATTGTTCGGCCCGAGGGAACAGTTGTACAATAAAACAAAATAACCACAGCTTTGTTTAAAGTTTTAACAGAAATCCTGCATTCCAAACTGGGGGTCAGATTCAAGGCATTAGGGAAGGTGTAAGACACAAATGAGTTGTGTGATTGGAATTGCTAGATTTAGACCAATAGATGAGCGATAGAAATAGAATAGATAGGATTTAATTTTAAAGTTATGTCAACCCCCATTGCAGATGTTAACCATTGATCTTATCGGATATAAAATGCTGTAAATACATCTAGCCTCTCGTTCGATGAGGTAAATATGTACTTGGAAGTTATAGGGATCTGGTAGAAAGCCTACTGGAAACGCATCATTGCGATAGTTTATTTTGTTGGTTGGTTACTCAATCTCCTGTCCTCGCAGAGCCTCCACCCATCTCCTGCTGAGATCACTCCTGGTGGGCGGTGCAGATGGAGAACTACGTGTTGCTGCGCAGCGACACACACACACAGAGAGAGAGAGAGAGAGAGAGAGAGAGAGAGAGAGAGAGAGAGAGAGAGAGAGAGAGAGAGAGAGAGACAGAGAGAGAGAGAGAGAGAGAGAGAGAGAGAGAGATTCCCTCTCACATCACAAGCGGCTGCCAGGGCGTAGATGTGTTCCTGCGGCTCCCCACAATCCTCTGTTGTAGATGTAACCTGTGGCTGAAGGAGGTGTCTGGTCGGTGGGTGCAGGATGTAAGGACTACCGGCTGATACACGGGCCACAACTTGTCCGCGAAGTGCAGGATGCGGTCACCGGATTCAGACGCGGAGTCTTCTCGTGGGGGGTTCGGTGAGCGCTTTAAAGTAAGTTCTTTGTTTCAGTCATTGCTCTCAATGTAAATCTCTGTTATTCGTTTGCCATACATAATAATAATTTCTGTTTCTCTTGGTGTAAAAAAAATTGTCTTATTCTCTCTGAATGTGCGCGTGTCTTTTCGTCTGTGTCCATGTGTTTTTTCTCATTTCTTTCTGTGCGATGTCCCCTTCACCCCCCAGACATGACGGGTCAGGCCCTGGGTGAGCTGCGCGGCGGGACTCGCGCGCATGATAACGCCGCCATCCACATCAACGTGGGCGGCTTCAAGAAGCGCCTCCTGTCCCACACCCTCTCCCGGTTCCCCGAGACGAGGCTCGCACGCCTGCTCCACTGCCAGTCCAAAGAGTCCATCCTGGAGCTGTGCGACGATTACGACGACACGGAGAAGGAGTTCTACTTCGACAGGAACCCGGCGCTCTTCCCCTACGTGTTGAATTTCTACAACACAGGCCGGCTGCACGTCATGGCCGAGCTGTGCATCTTCTCTTTCAGCCAGGAGATCGAGTACTGGGGCATCAACGAGTTCTTCATCGATTCGTGCTGCAGCAGCGCTTACCACTGCCGGAAAATGGACCAGGACCGGGAGGACTGGGACGACAGGAGCGACGAAGGGAGCACCACGTCGTCTTTCGACGAGCTGTTGGAGTTTTACAGTGACGCCACGAAGTTTGACAAGCAGCCACTCGGGAGCGCGCGGAGGCGCGTGTGGTTGATGCTGGACAACCCCGGCTACTCCGTGGCCAGCCGCATCATTAGCATCCTCTCCATCCTCGTCGTGCTCGGCTCCATCGCGACCATGTGCCTGAACAGCATGAGCGAGTTCTGCCTGTTGGACGACGAAGGGCTGCCCGCGGAAGACCCCCGTTTCGAGACCATGGAGCACTTCGGCATCGGCTGGTTCACTCTCGAGCTGGTCGCCCGGTTCACGGTGGCGCCGGACCTGCCGCATTTCTTCGAGCACCCGTTGAACCTGATCGACCTGGTGTCCATCCTCCCGTTTTACCTGACGCTCCTCGTCAACCTAGTGGTGGAGAGCAGCCCGACGCTGGCCAATCTGGGACGCGTCGCGCAAGTGCTGAGGCTGATGAGGATTTTCCGCATCCTGAAGCTGGCGCGTCACTCCACGGGACTGCGCTCGCTGGGGGCCACCCTCAGGAACAGTTATAAGGAGGTGGGCCTGTTGCTCCTCTACCTGGCCGTCGGGGTGTCATTTTTCTCCGTCATGGCCTACACGGTGGAGAAAGAGGACAGCGACGATCTCTCCACAATCCCGGCGTGCTGGTGGTGGGCCACCGTCAGCATGACCACCGTTGGATACGGGGACGTGGTGCCGGTGTCCATAGCTGGCAAGCTTACCGCCTCGGCGTGCATCTTGGCCGGGATCCTTGTTGTCGTGCTTCCAATCACGCTCATTTTCAACAAATTCTCTCTCTTCTACAAGAGACAGAAGCAGCTGGAGGCTGCGATGAGGAGCTGCGACTTCGACGAGGGGATCAAGGAGGTGCCCCCGGTCAACCTGAGGAACTATTATGCGCATAAAGTCAAATCCCTCATGGCGAGCTTGTCTAACATGAGCCGGAGCTCACCAAGCGAGCACAGCCTGAACGAATCAATACACTGAGACGGAGTTTCATCAAGGACATGGGGACGGGACGGGTGGTGGGGGTGGGGTCAGGCTAGGTGACGCCTCTCATTCAACGTGGCCCTGAACGTGGAGCTATCCAGGGTGCTGAAACCCCTGACAGAAAAAAAACACTCCTTCCCTTCACTGATGTCTGACCGTTTGTCTCCTTGTAGCTCAGTGCAAAAACGTGTTATTCTATGTGACAGTGACAAGGAGAAAGCAGGAGAAGGTACAGAGCAGTCTGCGATGATACATAAATATGATATTTCACTGTGCTTTATGATGGCCAATCTAAACGCCAAAACGTGGGCACGTAAGATGAAAAACGCGAATGCTGCCTTGTTTGCAGTTATAGACGGTGTCACACTGTAGTCCATCCTCCAGCTGTACATGTCATGTCAGACAGTAACTGCGGCTCTCACGCTCTCATAGTTGTTGATGTGTAATTGTTGTGTTGCAACAGGTTTACTTCAGATGTGTGGTGAAAAGCAAACTGTATTAAACAAAAATGCACAACATTTCTAGCGTCTACTGTTTGCGACGTGATCTCCAAAACCTGTTCATAAAAATGTATACAAAATATTTTACATAGAAATTCTTAACAATACATACTAACTGCCGGTGGTTAACCACGCCCCTTGAGTGAACGTCTCTCCGCCATGTTGGATTCTTGAGTGAACGTCTCTCCGCCATATTGGATTTTTTGAGGGGGTTAGGGTTAGTATTGTATTCTTACAATTTAACATTGATTTATCGTTAAAAATGCAATCATAACACGTTTATTTTACATCGTTAGACTTCATGAGGTGTGTTTACGGGGTGCAGGTCCCCATTCACTTTGAATAGGGTGACGTCATCAGTTGCAGTCCGTATTTATTTAGTATGTATCACTACGAATTTGTATCTTCAAGATTTTCATATACATTTTTTCGAACAGGTTTTGGAGATCAGGATGCTGTTTGAGATAAAACCTGTGAACCTGGAGGGGTTTTATGTTTTGTGACTGACATTTGTAACAGTGTGATGGGCATAATGGCAACCACTGTGACATGTTAGATACATGGGTCTTTAGCGATTGGGTTTCTTGGGGGCATGTTTGGCATATAGGCCAGACAAAACACTTTTCATACGTAAATCACAATGGATTGATACATACATATGTTTTCGTCCCCATGGGTTGTCACATCCACACATTGACAATAAAGCATGCACAGAAATACACCCAGCGAGGCATATGCTTATTATAGAATTCTGACTGATACGAGCACAAAGGAGGTCTGGAACCGATTCTGTGTGCAGCGCTGAGCTCTGTATCATCTGCCGAGCGGTAGCAGCTTATTCTCATACTACAGAATTTGGGTTAATATGGAGCCAACTAAATGTGATCATTTAGATTGTGTTGGTTTAGAGAGGAAGATATTCTATGAAACACAAACATGCTTTTTGGTTCCAGTCAAAAAAATGATCTTGACATAGAGAACGATCCAAGTCATTTATAATATTTCAGTTTAGAGCGCTATCAATATGGACACCAAAACCCTTGTGTAACTCGACATCTTCTTAGCAGTTGTTTTAACATGTGAAATGGATGATGAGCGATGTCACACCAAGTGTTGCTTACGTTTCTGAATTCAACTGTACAGAGACCCCCAAGGCCCTCTGAGAAAACAGCAGAAAAGATACTGGCCTTTTCTCTCAAGTAATTTGTGTCCTTGTCTCCAGCCTGTAAACAGAAAAATACATGCAAATATATCCCATTTAGATTGATTCTCAAGGTGTTTGCTTAATAGCTATAAGATAAGATAAGATTTCATTTTCTTATTTTAGAAAGGAGTTCCAGCTTCTGTAACTGGCATGAACACAATGGAGTCTCTTGGCAGCATTGTAAATTACAGTTTAATATCTAAGGAGTCATTTGGTACAAGTAACAGCTCTATAAAATAAATCGTTTTATTAGCTTATATTGTGTATAGCCACAAGGATTTCAGTTATTTAATCTCAGAATTTTTCTGCCAGTAGAGGGATTTCCATAGAACAGATCCTTTATTTGTTAGCAGAATCTACGGTGGAAAAATCTTCACCACTGTCCATGATTTTGCACAGATAATTCAGACATTTATGCACATTTATCTCAGGCACTTCAGCTCTACCAATCTGCTCCCGCAGTCCAAAGATCATCTTAAATTCACTGTCTCCAGATTTATATGAGAAGAAACATCAAAACATATTGGCACTCACAACTAATTAGTTTGAGCATACTGACAGCAGCCACCTGCAGTACTGGAACTCCCAACAGACCCCCAGAGACCAAAATACAATTAGTTTCATGTCACTTTCTTTTTTATTGCAAAACTGAAACAAAATGCATCAATACCTATAAGTCCTAAATTATTAAACACCAACAAGCTGTTTGGTTAGGTTGTATTCATTAAAGGGATGATGGGAGAATAACCAAGTGGCAACAAGGTTGGGCTTGCTTAGAAAATACTAATTCAAGGTTTTTCTTGGGAGCTCATTTAAACTGACATTCACCCTCAGAGGCCAATTATATCAGCCTCCTTTTGTTTATTCTTGCGTCTTTAAAGTCTTTCCCCCCAGGTAAAAATCCCACACCACGCAGCACAACACTAGCATCGAGGAATCAGTAAATGGGTTCACAGTGACAGTGGGTGACATTTACACAAATCAACAGAGGCAGACCAAAATAAAATGATTGTTTCTACATCTGCAACAAGAAAGTGATGGAAGAAGGTGGCTTTCTACTTAAGGAGTGTTGGAGCAAGAGGAACAGTAACGCCATTAGTTGATTTGACCAATGTAGTCCAAAGGTCAGTGTGACTGTGTGGGGTGGGTCACTGTGATGTCAGGCCCTCTCCACCGCCTCCACATCATTACTCTCTGAAATGTGGAGACAGATGTGAGGAGGCCCAGGGCCTGTCTGGCACACAGCTGAGCACAGATGGCAGCGCAATTCATCAGAGGAAGACAAGAAGTCTGCTGACTTCTTTTAAACCAGTAACCAGCAAAGCTTGAATCTGGACATAACGATTAAATCACTAACACCCCAATTTGTGACTCCTCACATGTATGATTCAATAGTTTCAAATGGTCTCCCATGTCATCATTTAAAGCTTTGAGAGGTACACCTTTTAATCAAATATGTACTTTATGAAACAATGTCCGATGTAGACAGTTTAAAACGCCTGCTTTTATTTGTTTTCTTTTACAGCTGCTGTGAACAAAAGACAAGAGAGTCTAATCATGAAAGGATGAGAGTTAGCACGGAGCTGACTGTAAATGGTGCATACCACTGTGTAATGGGGAACTTGTTGACGCTGGCAGCACGCAGGCGTTGTCTCCAGTCTGCTCTCTATTGGGGATATCTGTTACTAAGCAGGCATTCCGTGTTGTTGCACATTACCATCTGCTACTATCCCTTTGCGTTAAAACACTGTGGAAAGATTGGAGCTTCTCCGTGTGCTTGTTCCCCCAAGCACACACACTTTCTGCCTCCTGCTTCACTGTCCAATCTTTGAATATCTTCAAAAATAACATCTCATTAAATGGATAACGGCATTGCTAATTATCACATACAGATCTGATGCAAATGCAGAATGCAGGTAATGCCAAACAGGGATAACTGATCACATGCTGCTTCATGCCACCATTAAAAAAATCTGAATCAAAGTTTTTTCAAAGGCACTCAGGGCATATTGTTTTGCATTATTTACTATCCTCACATCTTTATTTGAAGTAAATACTTCTATTCAGGTGGAGGAGACTAGAGTGCTGACAAAAAAACATCAAGCTGAAAAGGAACGTTCTAATGATAGAACAAAAGCCACCTGGCATTATTAAATAGATTTAATAGAGCTGGATACATTTCGTTAGGATCCTTCAGCAGTGCATTCGGCTTTGTAAAGCTCAGTGGTGCTTCAACCAAAATGCTCCCAGTGCTGTACTCAATATCTGTCTTGGTGTTAAGACTGGCCTGTAGACTGTAATGCTAAAATGTTTACTATGGTCACTAAGGTTAACTGTCTAAAGATACTCATGAGTTCAATAGTGAAAAAGTTCTATCTAAGCAGAAGAGACACAGAGACACCTCTCTCCTTGACACCTGGTAATAGTGAATGCTAGGTATAACCCTCGGGGTTAGATAAGATGCTCTAAAGCCTAGTTTATGCTTCTGCGTTTTCAGAGAGACGCAAGGACACACAGACGCAAGAGCCCCTTGCGTACCCCTTGCGTGCCCCTTGCGTGCCTTTTCACCCCTCCTTGCGTGCGTCAACCCATTTTTCTAGACTAGCGTCAAAAGCTACAAAAGCCTTGGTCTGCTAACTACATCCTTTCCGGAGTCTCACATTTCCGCTTTCATGAAGAGCTCATGAGAGTTCATGTGATTGAAGAGCTTTTATCGGAAGGAATCCGTAAATATGACACGCAGATGGCCTCCAATTCCCGGAGGGAGATCTTCACAAACATCGGTTTGCCAGTCGAGGGGTGCACAAAGTTGTGGAGGAAAATACGGGACAAATATGTCCGCGATGAAAAGCAGCAGTGGCGATGCACGGGCGAAACGCAGACGCAGAAGCATGCGCAAACCTTAAGTCACACAATCTCCACCAATAACTTGAAAAAATGGTCTGGGAGAGAGCACTACACATACACACACAAACACACACAGGCGATGCCCTTTTACCTCTTTGAGATGTTTCCGCATACCAGCCACATGTACTCCTCTGTAGATGAAGCGTGACTCATTGCATTTCTAGCTGCCCTGGAGGACATAACGAGACAATGGTCACCTCATGAGAACTCAGAACGGGAAAGCATTGCTAGATGTAGCAAACCTCTAACCCCAGGTCGCTTGCTCAGAGGAGAGGAAAGATATCGGGCAAGCACATGGTTACATAACCTTGTGTCAATGTGGTGTTAGAATTACAATGCGCAAAGTGCTGCAGGAGGAAGTCACTGGTGCCTGGTGGAAAATATTTTAGGTAGAGCCATCCAATCAGCAAACATCCCAGATCATCTCAGCAAACATCCCAGTATGATTTAATACAAAACAGGTAAAATGCATTACATTGCAGTTAAATATTTAACATTTATTCCAACTAAAAAAAGCATTGATCAACACTTTGACGATCATTATTTTTGTCACCGCCACAAATAATTCAGTATACTATACTGCTTAAAAAATGAATCTTTCATCAGAATATCGCAGGAATTCATTTGCACTTTTCTGATAATGATCTGGGGCCTTAGGCACGAAACCAGGATAAGGGATTAAGCCGAGATATTCAAGTTATTCTGGATGAATTTAGCTTTGACTAAACGAAAGCAGGTTGAATTAAACCCAACAAAGTAACCATGGAGATTTATTCTTTACAGCTAGTCTGCTCCAGAGCAGGCTAACAGCCAGGCTAAAATTAATCCTGGAGTCTCATGTGTTAAATCAGCTGCCGTTCTGATCTGAAATAAACGTGTTTAACAGTTGAGGGCGATATATAAAGTC